CTTTCTTTCTTTCTTTCTTTCTTTCTTTCTTTCTTTCTTTCTTTCTTTCTCTCTCTTTCTTTCTTTCTTCTTCCTTTCTTTTTAAAAAATATTTATAAAAGTTTATTTAAGCCAAAATGAGGACATATGCCTGGGAGCAAGATCTCAGCTGCTTCTTGCCTCTTTCTTAAACATCCCTTCTATCTGAAGACAAGCAATCTTTTTAATTTGTAAAGCCAGCATCATTATAAAGACCATTTTTAAATAAAATATTTTAAAATGAAGAAATAAGAAAAACTTGCTGTATTATATACTGCAAAACTACTAAGAGACTAGACCTTCAATGCGCTCACCACACAAAGATGATGATTATGTGCCATGATGAGGTGTTAGCTAATGCCAGCATGGTAACCGTATTGCAATATGGAAATGCATCAAGTTAATACATTAAACACCTTACACTTACACAGTTTTAAATATCAATTATGTCTCAATAATAAAAACACTTACTTAGTCAGTTTCCTCTTCTTTAAACCATTTTTACTCCTGAGAATTAAAAAAAATACAAATTTATCTGAGTAAATTAATTAACATAATGACTAAACTTGAAGAGTTTTAAATAATTACAGCAGGCACCTCAATTTTACTTAATTTTCATTAAACATATCTCAGGTTTGTTTAATTACATTTCCTTAAATGAGAAAATAATGATAATAATTTCAGATTCATTTTAAAAAACTCGATTAGATTGCAGGAACATACCTACACTGTATATTTAATATTTGCCAGAAACAGAATTCTGGAAATGTATAATTTCTTGCCACTGGTGGTTAAGTTGCTAAAGTATACTGTAAACATATAGAAGTATCAACTCCCTGAATACTCCCAGTTCTATAGGCAAGAAGTAAAAAATCAGGGAATAGCAGTGAGAAATAATGGTGGTGGTGGTGGGAAGGATATGTTGGGCTCTTAATTAAAGACTAAAATAGCTTTTCTGAGCATTTTTGGTGGGCATGTAAATTTGTGCTTTCGTGTTGGCCCAAATCTTACTTAATTCTGTTATGGCATTGTTCATATTCCATTTTAAACTAGCTCTTAAGCTAGTTACCTGAACCTATTACCGCTGGTTCTTAATTCCTTACTAGTTTATAAGCTCAAACACATGTGATGCTAAGGTCTGCTTTAGTTAATTGCATTTCCAAGGTGGTATTTAGGGGAATAGTTTTCAACCAACAAGTAAGATAACTGACCCAGTAACTAATGCTAAGATCGTATCTGCTGAAACTCTTCATTATTGTATTTAAATGTCTTAATAAATAATAAATATTGATACATGATTGTGAGTGATACTTTTTATAAGTAGTTTTCAAGGATCTTTAAAAATTGATGGAAGCACCCAAACTTTCAGAAAATAAACAACCTATAGTACATAACCAGGTGTGATTTGAGTACTCTCATGTGCCAAAATATTTACTTATAACGAGAATTACGAGCATTTGGCTACCTCCATTTCCAGAAAGCCTTTAGCAGAATAAAGCACCGCTCCCTCTGTGCCTGCACAGAGCTTCACTCATGGAATATTTTCACGCTGTCTGTCTCAGTCTGACTTGGGCTCCCGAGTCCCACTGGGGAAATGGGACTTGCGGATGGAAAGTACAGCAGGACAGAAAANCTCACGCTGTCTGTCTCAGTCTGACAGTCTGTCTGACTGCTAGACCGTCCCTTCCCCCAGAGCTGAGCACAGCCAATGGAACACAAAGTGGGTGGTCAATAAACGCTTATTTAATTGAACTGAAACAAACATCTTTGCTATGTCACCCTGACCATTTTACTTAAAGATTCAGTTAAGAATCTGATACTAGACTTGGGCTCCCGAGTCCCACTGGGGAAATGGGACTTGCGGATGGAAAGTACAGCAGGACAGAAAATGCAGGGGAATGTCCATAAGGCAAGTGGTGTTTCTGGTTTCCGGTAGTTTCTATTTTCCCCCAATTCTGAGTGCAGACAGTCCATTTAATAGTTCCTGTCCTATTTTGTCCCCTCATCCTCTCTGTCTTCTATACTTGGGATTTAAAGGGATTAAGCATTCCGGTTTTTACTTTGCCTTTCCCTCATCCCCTGAAAAAACACACTAATCTTGGACAGAGCTGTATCATGTAAGCATTTGGGAACCTAAAGAAATACCTTGAATAATTCTCTTCTCAGCTCTTGCAGTGGGGATTTAGTTAACTTTAGGAATCCCGCATTTACTTCATGCACAGGAACCAGTGACTTTAGTGCTTCACAAAAGCAGAATGTCAGCACAGATAACTAACGGTCCTGGCAAAGTCAGAGGCTGCCAACGTATTTAGTGACTGGGAGTGAATTTTTTAAAAAAAGAAAGAAACGTTTCCTATGCAAACAGACTTTCAGGGAAACTGGGAAGAAACAAATGTATGTGGGAGGTGACACTGAATAAATTCAGTGCTGAAATATTAAGCTGCTACTACTCAGCAGCTGTGCGGAAATCTGACTCATGGCGGAGAGGCACTTGTTTTTCTTTCCATCTCATCCATTGATTGAATGAATTTTAACCCATGTGAAATTTTACCGCATGCTTTATATGACTTACTGTCTTCCTCTTACCATAAGTATAGGTCTTCATGATTTGTGTACAACTTTCATTGTTATGCTTAGATTTTGCTGAGTTTCTATAGATATCCTAAGCCTGTGGGACATGACAGGACTAAATTATGGGACTCCACAGCAGTACTGATATAATTTTTTCTACATTTGTAATTGCTGTGCTAATCCTAAGACTAAATTCAGGGGAAATTCACTTGTAAACATGTAAGTTGAGGCTTTCCTAACAATTTTAACTTAAGTACATTATGGAAAAACTTAGTTGTGTGTGTGTGCATGGTACAATGAACATTTTGGGTGATGTTTAGAGTATCATCTTGTCATGGCAAAAGATTTTCTGAAAAACTGATAAATAACAACCATCAGACACATGGCATATATGCATATAGGATCATGCACTTTAATTTCCCCCTTTCATTTGTATTAGGTAAGGTTCAAAACCCCAGTGCTCTCGAGAAGCTAAGGTGCACTCTTTATAAGTTCTTCATGGTATGACAGCCTTAGAAAGCCAGCCAGATTAGAATTCATTGTAAAAAAATATATAAAGCAATACCACAGACATGGAATTTATGACGGTTAAAAACAAAAACAACCCCCCCCAAATATTCTAGACATCCCCAATTTCATAAGCACTACTTACTTTCTCATGAGCTAAATGGAACTCATCCCCAAATCGTAAAAAAAGCCGTCAGAGTTCCAGCGTTCTCTGAACAAGAGCATGCAATAGCCGTGAGGAAAGCTGGCACTTGAAAGTGAATGTTACTGTGACATTACGATGTTGACTGCGGGGGTTTAGAACAGGCCGATGAATTCTTGAGAACACATGAGGGTGAACAGGGTAGTAAGGAAAGAGAGAGTAATAACACTGAATCCAGGCAGGCAGCCCGAGGTCACTAAAGGCAGAAACCCTGCAGAGCACAACCCTGCGACCAGCCGGCTGAGCCCCGGGCCCCACTCTGCTCCCAGCCTGGGCAAAGGTTCGAGCAACACTCGCAGAGAGACCCGGGCTTGGAAGCCGAAGAGTCTACACAGTGTGAGGTTAAGATGGTTAACCCTCTTAAGCCTCTGTTTCCACATCTCTAAAATGGGGTGAAAATGCCCTCTGCAGAGTTGTGGGGACAACTAGATAAGATAATTACACAGAGAGGCTTCGACACGGCCAGTCGCTCTGTATTCGTAGTTAACATTCCCGCACAAACACCGGAGGCCCCAGACACAGGGTGCGGCGCTCTGGGTTTCTCTGCCTTAATGCATTCCTTCCTTCTTGGGAATGTGGAACTCTGCCATGGATGGAGATGGGGAGGAAAATGGAAAGCATCATTGATAAAGATGAGAGGCCAGGGGATCGACTCGAGAAGGAACAGATGACTGGTAATGAACGGGAGGAAAGCAAGCCAGAACATCACAAGGAAACGGCACTGTTAGCATCTTGGTACCATTAGCTGCTTTATCCATTTCAGATAATTTTATAATTACAGATGCTGCACATAAAAGAATTTTTCCATTTTGTTTACTTCCTGGAAGCTATCTTTTAAGACTATGTTAGGTAAACAGTAGAAATTTTTAAAAAATCACTTACCAAGGATTAATATAAAATGCCAAAAGATAATCAGTCCAAAGACATGAAGGTAGCAGGGTTAGGAAAGCAAATATACTCCTACGCCTGTGAGCATTAATAGATAACAGATGTAAAGATGGAGAAGTGAAAAGAGTTAGTAAGATAAATTGTGACGAGACATCAGCACATTACTTACTGGAATCAAGTAAAACGAGCACCTTAATTATAACAAAACATCATTCCATTCTGTGAAATTTAAACCTGAGGTGAAGTGCTAGCTATAATATTGTCAAAATCAGTTTCATTCACACTCAGACTCTTATTGTAATCAGATATATTTTTCCAACGTATTTTGTGTTAATTAGTCTGCTATTAGGTGATTACATTTCGCATTCAGCTAAATGAGGCGCTTAAATGCCTCATTAGTGATCTTGAGTCTTATTCTTGGATTATTACCCTTGCAGTGCTTAAGCCTATTTTAAGGAACCTGTAAAACATCATTTGATAGCTAACAGCAGCTTGTGGGAGGGAATATAAATGATGAGTTTACATGCACCGGTCCTGGGGAAGACTCGAAGCTTTGGGGACACATTTGTATAAAGCTGCACTTCTAGTGCACTACTGTGACCTTCTGCATTATTTGAACTTATATATCATTTCTAAAAAGTAACATTTAACACGGAGGTATGGCATGACAGGTGCCATCCATTCAAGAACAGTAGCTCATCAAATGCCTAGTCTGAGATCTTAACCAATACTCAGCTGAGTGGGAGCAAAATTACTTAGTTTCACTTTAATTCTAATTCAGACTGTGGGTTAAAATGCATGGTTTGAAACCAATTTCAGAAATACCAACTGCTTATAACATAGAAAAGTCATTAATGCAGATTTTAAAATATTGTATGGTTGCATCTATAGTTATTCTGAGAATTAGGGGGGAAATGCTGTTACCTTGTCACTTTAGTTATTACAAATCTCCACTGAGATATCTATTCTCAGCCAGAGAATGCTGGGGCTGGAAAACCTGTATTTTCCAAGAGTTGCATGAGAATTTTCTTGATTTTATAGAAAAGTCACGGAGTGAATTCTCTTGTACCTCAGTTCTCCCATAATGGGTCTTCCATAGTTTATAAGTTGTGGCTGTTGTGTAATCAATACACAGCTCTCCTGAGTCACACGTATAAATGAATCATTTCCTATGTGGGCCACTCACCACTGCTCTGCCGCTGGGCCTTTTGTAAGGGTGGGCCAGGCGACAAACAAATACCAGTGAATTAGTCTCTTAATCTTGAAAAGAAGCGCTGATATATTTGAACAAAGTCAGAAATATTTCCTAACTTTTAACTTTTACTTTACGAGTTTCTCTCGCTTCACAGTTGGATTAGTCATCTTTGAATAGCAAAATTCCATTCAGGCTAAAATTTAAAAACAGCATAAAAGAATCCTATTTCAACTAGGCTTTCAACCAGAGTGGGCATCAAGTAGAGGTGCCTACTCAGGGAAGCAGAATTTATATTTTAAATAAAGTCCTCCCTCCTTCATTGATTTTGTAGAGTAAAATTTCCACTCTCAGATATCTATTTATTTAAGATGAATCATTCTGGGGTATTAGTAAAAACAGAAAATGAAATTACTTACTAAGAATTAATATGAAAGTGTATATATTTAAATGTGTTTTGCATGGTTGCTTGCACAAAAGCCAAACGAGATCATAAGCAGTGCTGGCTTCAGTAAATGGTTACTTAATTGGCAGTTTGGGTGGGTATTAATTGCAATGTATTGTTAATTCTCATGTATCATCATTAGGTAGAATGTCAACCAATTTAATCTCCTGATAATACTTTCTTAATTCTCAAAATATCTCCTCCCTCCAGGTCCCTAATGCTCAAGAGTAAAGAATAATGATGCCAGGTTTGCTCATGGGACCTTCCTGGCGTTGGTATTTATTAGCCTGTGAGTATAAGAGTTGAGGGCCCTGGGCTGTATACTTCTACGTGATTTTTGAACAGAAGTGGTGGCTCATGTCCCGGCCCTGAAATGAGAATTAAGCAGAGACGCTGCTCTGTTTCACGCTGCTTCAGTGAGCTCTCTTGTCACGCCTTCAGCCCCCACTTGTTCAGGGTGGCTCCCGCCTTTAAGCCCTTCGTGGGCACAGCTATGGGCTACTTGCCTAACTGCTGATTTAGTACTTTGTTGAATATAGTAAATACAGAGCAAACTCTGACACTTTGCTACTTCATGATTGTATTAAACTAACGTATACCAATATACTCTGTGAAGATCTAACCTTTGAAAGTCCATTGTCAAAGAAATTATGGAAGGACAATCAGACAACACCATTTATCCCCCAAAGACGGTAAAATAAAGCTTGGAGCACACACAGCACAGCTAAGCCAGCTAGAGGCTTGTTGCAAAAGAATACGCACCAGTTGTACGGAAGCTTTCCATCCCTCTCCAAGGACGCAAAGTTGACGAAAGTTCCTGCCCCACACTCCCTGCGTGGGAGGAATCACAAAATCCAGGTTACTGCTCGACGGAGCACTCTTCTGCCTTGACGTATGAGTCTTTACTAGCTTGTCATCGTAACATTTTTTTTTTAAAAAAAAGCTAAAATAAAGTTCTATGGGTTTCTCTTTTGCACAAAAATGCAAAATAGAAAGACAAAACAAAACAAAACAATTTTTCACAAGGCCATACATCCCCCAGCCCCGTAGCAAGTTATTTGAGGCCAAAAAGTTTCAGTTCACAAAGGGCACCCAGGATCCTAAATAAATCTTTGATCTTTTTGGGATTCGATATTTTTTTACAACGTAAATTATAGAAACTGTCCTAGATAAAATGAAGGGTTTTTATTTTTAGCAAATATTCTTGATGGGCTTTGGTTGTTGTTTTTTTTTCTAGCATATTGATTTCCGCTCTGTAATACTGGTGGATCAAGATGTATTGGTTCCTTCTGCCAAAATTTCCCTCTCACGTTGTGATGCTCACTGTATTCATCGCTTGAGATGAGAGTAAAAGCGTGACGCGTATTGAAGTAGATCGGCCTGTGCAGAGCCACTGTCGCTGCTGCCAGCAAACATCTCCCGCACGCTCCCTGTGAGGTGAGCGTGACGCTATGTCACGGCTGCATTACTGCTCCTCGCTAGCCACTAACGTAGGGTCATTGTCATCCTCTTGACGTACATTCTTTCCTGGCCTCTAGGCTGCCTCACCCTTAGCGTTCCTTCCATGCCACTGGATGTCTCTTGTCAGTCTCTATTGCTGCTATCTTGCTTTGTCCGTGAAAATCTTCATACTAGGTTATTCTGGTGCTTAATCTGGGGATTTCTTTTTTAATTTACACCTCCTGCATTTCATCCTGTCTACAGCTTTAATACCAGGCATACACTAACAACTCCCAAATTTATGTCTTCAATCCAGACTTCTCTCCTGAACTCCAGACTTTTTTTTTTTTTTTAAATATATCTTTATTGATTTCAGAGAGAGGAAAGGAGAGGGAGAGAGATAGAAACATCAATGATGAGAAAGTCATTGATCAGCTGCCTAGCCTGCAACCTGGGCATGGGCCCTGACCAGGAATCGAACCCTGATCGCCTGGATCCTAGGCCAACGCTCAACCGCTGAGCCACGCCCGGCCAGGCCTGAACACCAGACTTTTATGTTCAACTGCTTACTCACACCGGCACGTGCAGTCTTCCCAAACTTAACTTTTCCCAAACTGATGTCCTGATGTTCCCCTAACTCTGAAACCCTCTCCTCTGGAATCCTATTCCAGCTGATGGCAATTCCATTGTTTTGGTTGCTAGGACTAAACACCTTGGAGTCATCCTCTACTTTTATTCATATCCATTCAATAGGCAATTAGTTAGCAAATCCTGTTGCCTCTATTTTCAAAATACATCTGGAATCTGGTCATTGTCCCCTACCCACCATTGTTACTGCTCTTGACTGAACCACTGCCATCTCTCTCTTGCCTGGATTACGGCCATGGCTGCCTCAGTTCACATGCCTGCTTTTGTCCTTACAACCTGTTTACATAAAAGTCAAAATGAAAATGTTGAAATGTAAGTCAGATATTTTTAATCTTCTGCTCAAACTCTTCAGTGGCTCCTATTAACTGAGAGTAAAAGCCGAAGTCCTTACAATGGCTAATGAAACCCTACATGACCTGACATCACCTCCTGCCACCCCTCCATTCATTTCCTCTGCTTTGGCCACCCTTGACTACCATCTATTCTTTGCACCTGCTAGTCAGGCTCCTGCCTCCTCAGGGCCTTTGCACTGGCTGGGCCCTCTACTGGGTACACTCTTCCCCTGGATACTACATGACTAACTCCTTCGTGTTCAAGTCTTTTTTTCTCAAATGTCACCTTTTCAATGAGATCTCCCTCCCTCCCAGAACTCCTCTCCCCATATTCCCCAGACAGGTGCTGCCAGACTCTCTTACTCAGCTCTATTATTTTTCTATTATTGTCTGCTAACATACAATATAATCTTTTCACTTTTATGTTTATTATTTATTGTCTGTCTTTTCCACTAGAATACAAGCTGCACGAAGGCAGACATTTTTGCCTGTTTTGTATACTGTCATATTTCAAGCACCTGGAGGAGTCTGACACACAACACTGATATTTGTTAAATGAATGAATAAAGTTTCAGTGGGCTACATGAGGACGCAGAGGTTGTGAGTCAGGATTTGACCCCAAGGAGTATGATTTTAGAACTTTCTATTCTAGCCACAGCGCTGTGCTACTACTCTCCTTACCCTTCTAAGATTTGCTCTAATGTCAACATCAAGAAGCTTGACTTTATATTCTTAACAATCTCTTTTCTTTACTTTCATGTTATCCCATTTTTATTTCCTTCCTGGTACAAGTCAGNTAAGAAGCTTGACTTTATATTCTTAACAATCTCTTTACTTTCATGTTATCCCATTTTTATTTCCTTCCTGGTACAAGTCAGTTTGTACCTTTAAATTTATTTGTTTACGTACATCTCTCCAGCTAGGTTCTAAGTTCCTAGTGAACAGCTCGGATGCCTGATTCTTCTTTGACTATGCCATAGAGGCACATCGTATAAATAGTTATTGGATGAAACACTTATTTATCAATCGGTGAAGGACAGACTCAGAGAAAGGAGAAGGTGTTGACTGATGACAAGTCAGCAGGCTAACGTGGGGCAAATGTGAATTTGAATCAAATTTCCCAAACCCAGTGTTACTCAACTAGGTAATATTGTGTGTGTGTGTGTTGTTTTGATAATATAGGGGACCACAGAAAGTTCTTGACAATGTGCTCTGATAAGAAATGCATCAGTGGTCAAAGGAAGAGGGAATCATCAAAATCATAAATCAAAAGGCTTTTCTAACTGTAAGAAAAATGAAACTGCCTGCAGCTCTGAGTAATGTGAACAAAAATGATAGGGGACCTTTAACGGGCCTAATCATAAATTCTACAAATACTTTCTCATAAGACAGCTTCAACAGAACTAATGAGGAGAGTGAATTTTTTTCTTTCTTATGGTCTCCACATATATTAACTTATTTTATTAATCATGCTGAGTAGGTATAGATTTTTCTTTTACTCCAAAACAACTTTGAAACTATCTAAATGTAATGTATGGGCCACTTAAGAGGTCTGACTTTGTCTAAACCAACAATCCTTAGCTTTACCATTTCGATGGTAATGTTTTCTAAAATAATATTAAAAGTCTTCTTAGAAAACACAGAGTAGAAGTAGACAACTTACTGCTGAAAAATTTAGGTCTGCAAAAGCATACACGTATGATAAATAACATATTTTAAAGGCTCTGGGTAAAAGATTAACCAAACTTAACTTACCTAGCCATCTGCAGATGCTTTCTCCTGAGAATGATCAGGGTGACCAGCAGCAATCCAATCAACAGTGTGCTAAGAATGGCCAGCACTGAGATGACTACCACATTGGGATTCATCTCTGTAACTAAACAGATACACCATGCGTTTCAGTTACAGCTTCCATTAATGGAAGCTAACAGAACCATTCATTGGACCTACGATGACAACAGCAGCAACAGTGATGTTTCTCCAAGCTGACAATGACCTCTTCCTGGTCAACTATAAGTTAGTGGGCTGATAAAAAGTATTTAAGGCCTACATTCTGGATGTTCTTATAAAGGGAAATTATAAACTGTGAATAATTCCTGTGACATAGTTTAAATTCACTTGAAAACATTAAATTAGAAGTCATTATCATGTATTTTCATTCTTTAACATTTTCAGAAGCTTGCAAACTCTTATTTTATGCCCATGATTTTAAAGTCAGAAAGCACAACTGTATATTTCACTCACAGCTAGTAATGTATATGAAAAAGGCATTAGCAAGCTACCATCTGCTACGGCACTTAACACATCGTAGAGGCAGGCATCCTGATGATCTGTAACCATATGTTGAGAGGTTTTTCCATCTGTACAACTCAGGAGATTAAACCTACTAATAAGTGGTAGGGCCCTTCAGAACAAGGGTTGTGTCCCTTTCATATACTTTATACGATGTCCAGTCCACGATGGCACTTACACGCTGCCTAGTTCATCACACTTCATGGAAGAGCAGGATATTAAAGGTGGGATTATATGTCAAATGTTGCATAAAACTCTTTTAACAGTAGACCGGACGCCAAGAGGAGAATGAGACCATTCTCTACTGATCACAAAGTCATGGAGCTGGTGGCACATGCACTCCCCAGGCCTCTGGGCGCTGCCACTTCCCATTTGGGACAATGTGGCTCCAGTTCACGGGCAGGGTACTTGAAAGAAAGAGCAGTAGACTCATGGTCAGAAGAGCTTGTCCAAGTTCACTGGACTACTGACTGCCATTTGGGGAGGCTGTTTCATCTGTCTCTCTGGGCTTCATTTTCCTCACTTGCAAACAAGTTTAATAACATCAACTGCTTCACTGGCTTGCTATAGAGGTGACAGGGAATAATGAACGATAAATTACACTTAGAAGAGTGTAAAAGGATGTAGAAATGACAGGCCATTGATATATTTTTTAGGCCCATTTCTATCCTCTCTTCTGAAAAAACAAAAATTTTAAAAATCCAAAACAAAGCAACCAAAAAAGTCCACGCTATTCATCATTGGATACCGCGATGAATATATGACAAAGGCGACAGAAATGAAAATGGATCCAGTAAAGGGTAATGTGAAAGTTAGAGTGGTTTTATTACAGGCAGCTTCATAGAAGATCTCAGATTGTAGAATCAGACTCTAACAAATGGAAATAAAACGTATAACTCAGAAAAAGGCAGGAGGCAACCAATCACTGTGTCTCTCTCACATCGATGTTCCTCTCCCTCCCTCCCTCTCTNGGTAATGAAAACGTTCTGAAATTTATTGTGGTGATTGTTACACAATTTTGTGAATATATAAAACCATTTAAATGGGTGGATTCTATGGTGTGTAAAATATGTATCAATAAAATTATTTTTAAAATATTAGCTTTTACATGCCCTAGCTGGTTTGGCTCCGTGGTTAGAGCATTGGCCCGAGGACTGAAGGGTCCTGGGTTCGATTTCAGCCAAGGGCAAGTACTTTGGTTGCAGGCTCAATCCCTGGCCCTGGTCAGGGCACGTGCAGGAGGCAACCAATCAATGTCTCTCTTACATCGATGTTTCTTTCTCTCTCCCTTCCACTCTCTCTGGAAAAACAATGGAAAAAATATCCTCAGGTGAAGATTAAAAAAGGAAAAGAGAGAGAAAAAGAAAAAGAGTAAGGGAACAGCATTATTCTAGACCTTTCATTATTTTTAAATTTCCCCACTTCTAGTTTCCGCTCGATTGGAAGCCTTTCTGCTCTGACCCTGTAGCTGAGTCTTGCGGTTATGCGGTGGGTAAGGGCCAAGGCTGAAAAAGATGAACCGGAGCTGGTTAGGCTACTACTGGAGAGGGTGATGAAACTGATAATAACTAGCATTTCGACCGCATGTGCCAGTGTTTTATGTCCTTTATCTCTAAGCCTCGAAACAACTCAGCAAGGTATACATAGGGTGTCCCCAAAAATGTATTCACACTTTGAATAATTATAAAGGCAGTGTTTGTACTTCAACTGCATTTTCAAATTTCCAGTAGCATTTTAGGATGAATTTCCTTTGTTCAAAGCTTAGTCTGGCTGAAAAGAAAGAAACATCAATTGGGCTATCAGCTGTGAAAGTGTGTATACATGTTTTGGGGACACCCTGTATTATAATTTTAGCTTTAGAGATGAAAAAAACAAAGGTACAGAGAGAGTAAATATCTTCTCCTAAGTCACATAGAGACTGAAATAAGCACTCCCTGACCTCGAAGCTTGGAATTTTTCAATAGAACAAATATGGGCTCCATTAAAAAGATAGATTATATATATTTAAAAAGAAAATGTAAGAAAGATTCAGAAAGATACAACTTTTAAAGACACCAGATTCCCCTGAAATATATAGTTACCCATTGTTGAGACGGCTATAAATGTGGGGACACTGGGGCTGTCATGGCTAAAGCTGGTGACACTACAGTTGTAGGCAGTGGCAGGAAGAAGGCTGGAGATGGTCACAACATGAGAAGAAACAGAAATCGGTTCCTGGAGATGCAGAAAATAAAACAAATGTTATGTAATCTTCATTTATTTTGATTTTAAAATTTTTCATAGTTGAGTTGGTAATGTAGGGACAGTAAAGAATTTAAAAAACAAAAAGAATAGCACTGAAAAATAAGTTATAAGCAATGCTACAGTAAACACAATTTCAAAATTATGGGAACATAAGTATATGTCCACAAACACATAATATATGTATATATATTTTCGTATTCCTAGCAATTAGATTGCTGGGTCAAAAGTTGTGTGTTTAATTTTGAAAGGTATTGACAAGGTGTCCTCCATAGACATTTTCCTGTTATTGCCTACTATCAACGCCTGACAATGCGTGTTTCCCTCTCTACTCCTAACATGGCATAGTGGCAAACTCTTTGAGCTTTCTCCAGTCTTATTAGTGGAAATTATACCTCATTGCAATTTTATTTTGCATTTCATTCCCCATGAGTGAGGTCGATCATCTTCATATATTTAAGAGCCTTTCGTGTTTATTTTCTGTGAAGTATTTATCTTGAGTCGTTGGTCTTTATGTTTTTTATTTGTAGTAGTTCTTTGTATATTAAGGACACCACCCCCTTTGCCTGCATTCTTGACTTTTAAATAGCATCCATCAAAGGCAGGACCAACTTTGCATTCTCAAAAATATTTAATATTAACCTATTCAACATAGAACAAGTTGCTAATTTGGTGAGCCCATAATCAGACTAGTGACTAGTACTACTGCGCAATATAAAAAGCTGAGCTGGCAAAACTGGGATCTGAAATACCGCCACCTAAAGGCATGGAGGCATCAGCCCCAACCTCATTAGCCCATAGAAGGCTTCTAAGGAAAGGCCTCTGCGGCAAGGCTCAGCCGTAGGAAGGAGCGGCCTAACCATTGTTTTCTTTAAGGAAGCAATCACTGCAGTTGCAGAGAGAAAAATCCACTACTGGCAGAGCAGTTATTTTCAAAAAGGATTCTTAGAATAGAAAAAAGATCCAGCTGTCTAGTAGAGATCAAAAAGAGATAAGTGAGTAGAGGGGAATATCAAAATGAGGAAGGAAGCAAGCAAATTATCTTAACACTCGGTACGAAAAGATTTGTACTCGCAGAAATCCCCTTTTCTTCTCAATCTCAGGAACTTCATTATTTAAAAAGCATCAATTATTCATATTCAGAGTCCTTGTCTATACACTATTTCGTGATATCCTTTACAAACTTGCCCTTTTCCTTCCATGTCTGACTGTAAAATATTTTTTTGTCGTGGCTTTGTCACCCTGAGAGCTGCTGGTTCGTCACCTTCCTCCCATTCATTTTGAGCTGGCAGACAGCTCAGTGTTCATCGTATCTGCTGTCTGTGATTCTAAAACTTTATCGATCACCTCTCGCAGCCTTCATTTTCACAAATGAAATCGTCCTCCTTACTAACTAGACAAGGGTTCTCCTTTTCAATTCTCTTTGTAATATGCATCTCTCTTGTGGCACTTGTTTTAATTTAATTACTTCTAGAATAATAAATGTCTATCCGCAACAGTATGAAAAAAATTTTTGAAGGCAAGTAGTAATTCTACCATTTGTGTTCCATACAGTAATTTACACAAAACTGGCAATCAGTTCGTGTTTGTTAAATTATATTTTACATGGCAGTGTCTTTACCCCCTCAGTTAATTTAATGTCCAATAGGAAAAAGGAACCACTTTAGTTCTTCAGCATGAACCAGAGTGGCTAAAGTTCAGGGACAAAAGATACATACGAAGATGAAAATCAACTTGGCAATTTGACAACTCAGTTCTCATAACACATTCTGGGCTTGTTCTGAGCATGCTGTTAATGTTTATCACTAAAACACAAAACCGTAAATGAACAGTTTTCATTTTCTATAGTTCAAAGAAATAAAAGATTTTCACTTTGCTCAGCTAATTAGCCTTAATCAAAATTAACTCAGAAAAGGAAAATCAGCAGGTACAGTACCTGGAGCTTTGTCTCCTGACCAGAGCCAACTTGTTGACAGGAGACTTCGAAGAAATCCGCCACCCCCTCTCCCACCCACAGCAAAGTCACCGAAGTCTGGGTTTTATTCACGGCAAAGAGCGATTTTGGAGGAGCTGGTTCTGAGCAAAGAAAAAGTTTTAAAATTTTAATTCAATTTAACACATTCTTTCTTCCTTCACCAATCAGCAGGATAAAATACCGCCCCCCCGCAAAAAAATTCCAAATATAGGTAGTTAAGAGCGCCAGGAAGGTTTTACATGTCTTTTGAAATATATGTCCTTTCACAAAGACAGTCACATATTTGCCTTTTCCCCTCTTCTATTTTATGCTTCTCTTTTTGGGACACTTCTGTTTGCTACTTCAGGTTTATTACAGACATCATCTATTAATAGCTATTATGTCATCTGCGCTGGAGTTAGCATCGCCCTGGGAATCCCGAGCTTCATGGGGAGAAACAAGAGCCTGCGCCCAACAGGCCGAGAAAAATGAAAGGGCCCTGTGTGCTCCCTGCTGCGGGACACGCTCAGCCTGTGCTCAGCCAGCAACCTCTCCTTTCTCTGGAGGCATTTAAAATAATTTCGTTACGAATGACTTCTTAAAAATGTAGTCAAAATTTAAAAAGGTAAAGCTAAATAGATGATATGATTTCTTGTTTATAGAAAAAGATGGATGAAAGAGAAACAGACTCATAGACACAGAGAACAGGCCGATGGTTGCCGAAGGGAAGGCGGTTGGGTGCAAAAAGTGGAGGGATTGAGAAATGCAAACTGGCAGTTACAAAACAGTCACAGGGATGTAGAGCCCAGCACAGGGAATATGGACAATAATATTGCAATAACTAGGTATGGGGCCAGGTGGGTACTGGAAACATCGGGGGAACACTTTGTAAAGTATATGATTGATTGTCTAACCGCTATGCTGCACACCTGAAACTAATACAAAACAAAATAATATTTAATGTAAACTATAATTGAAAAAAATTTTTTTTAAGAAAAAATATGAATGGAAAGGCACTAGATGGTTAATAAAATGTTAGCAAACTTGTTTTTTTATCTTTTTCATTTAGACATTTTATCATGATGAATAAATTAATTCATTAGTCATGTAAGCTGTGCTGGCCAGGCCCCGTCATCCTCATTTTCAGTCATTGAATCACTGAACCTGTTGGCTTGACACCAAACCCCTGGCTGTTCCCGGTTCTAGGAGTGGTCTGCTGTCTTGTTCCCGCATTCCTCAGTCTCTGCTGATCCCCTCCTGATGCCGCTGTCCTTAGGGCATTGCCTTTCTTTTGATGACCTCCAATATACAAAGGATATGCCTCAATCAAGTTCTTAAACCACGGCCCCTGTGAGCTGCTGGCGGACTCCTTCACATTCCTTGTTTGGACATACCCTACCTTGCTGTTGGGTTCACATGACAGCATACTCTGTCCACCTGCGTGTCCCTGTCAGACAACTATTCCCACAGTTTGATTGTTACTTGGGTTTCTTTTTATTATTTACCCCACTCTCCCAAGTCTGTCTCCAGTTCCTAGCCTTTAGAAATGCTTCAAAAAGCCCCGGAGGCCATTTCACTCCTTTGACAGGTATATGTCTTTGTGGGGGAAGGTTTAGGCCTTCTTTGTAGAATATCATCATCATGGTCCTGTCCGAAACCAAGAAGTATGTCAGAATCATTCTTGACATGATTTATTACAGGTAACCTAAACTTGTGTCCAACTAAAAAGAAGCCTTTGTTCTATCCAGTCAACTTGACAAGGTTAGGCAGAATTGTTGAAGGAGGAAAGAGATCAGCTAGTTTTGGACAAGAATAATTCACAATAGAAGTCAGGACCCCTTTCTCGTTTGCAATGAGTTGTCTATTCCTCCAGACATTGTATTGTCTCACTTCCCTTCTGATGAAGACTGTTGATAAAACACAGAGGCCAACTTCCACTTCCCACATCTTTCAAAACTGTCACTGCTAATAGGATTATGAGTCAGAGAATAAGTCTTCCAGTGATCCTGACTTGAGTAGAACTTGCATCTTTGGAAGCAAGTATGAGGTTGTCTGGGGCAGATAAGAATTATTTATTAGGTTGAGCCTGCCTATTTCTCTTTAAAAAACATTTACACCATTGAATTGCTCCTCAGAGTGTGTCTCTTGGACAATGATTAGGTTCCCTAGGATATTTATATATATATTTATGGGTAGAGAAAATCAGTTTAGTTATCAGATATGAACATTGCCTGAATCTTTACTAACCTCCAGATCCGCCCTTTTTATACATGTATTTCCCATCACCTATCATCTGAGCTTACTCAACTATTTCACTATTACCTCAAACTCCATATGGTCATAGTGGAACCTGGAGTCCTTGCCTTCCCACAAATTAATTCTAATTTTCAAATACTCCTGATTCTCTCAAGTGTAGCACTATTCTTTCAATCATCTAAGACAACTATTTTGAGGCTCTTCAATTGCTCCTCAATCCTGGAGAGCATATCTTTTAATAATTGTTGCTGTCTCTTCATTTTATCTACTTTTTCATTACGTTGCAGGCTTTATCATCACACTTATCAATCATTAGAGTAGCCCCTTACTCCCTTTCCCTGCCTCTAATTGGCTTTTTCATATTTATCAGTGATGGCTTAAATAGTTTTAAAACACCAACTTGCTCATGTTAAATCCTATCTGTGCCATAATCTATTGTGATTAATGTCTACTGCGTCAAATACAAATAGGCCAAGTTTTATAAAGATCCCACTTACATTGGCCACATGCTGCCCATCTATAGCTTCATCACCACCCCTCCTTCACAGACACGCTGCTCCCAGTAAAGCCAGTCTTCTCACTGACCCTCATACAGGCATTACTATTTTTTAATTCATGTATTTCCCTGCATTGTGCTTTCTTCTATTCTGACCATCCTAAGGTCAAGATGAAGTCTTACCTCCTCCTTGAAGCCTTATCTGATGACACTGTCTCTCAATGGTCTATACCTTTTCTGACCTTCTATTGCCCTTAATTATTTCCTATTTGATCTATATAAATGAAGTTCTGATTCAACTAGATCCTACTAGATTATTTAAGAACATGGGCCATGTGTTATAAATAAATTATATTGTTTTCACCTTGAACCAGCCACCTGTAGGAACTCAACATATCTTATCTATTACAGGTTTAAAACAGAAGTCAAGATTCATTAACCAGAGGTGTTAGGATTCAAGCATCAGTCAAGACCAGACACATTGGGGTTGAGTTTTGATATCCTCTGCCTTGTTATAGTGATCATGTTAATAAAAATGATCAGTTTTCAGTGGCAGAGTCAGGAAATACATCTTGGATATTAGAGTAAGGGTTTGTTTTGATCTGGCTGAGAATGTGGATCCAGGAGATAGCTAAGCATTGCTTATTCTAAATATTATTAAATATTTAAATTAAATATTATTAATTTCATATGATATGGAATACAATTACACACAAGAAACTTTTAATTGTTCTATGTCTTCCTGAATTCTATCTCTACAAAATTGATATGCTGAAGCCCTAACCCCTAGCCTTCAAAATGTGATGGTACTTAAAGGAAGGGCCTTTCAAGATGTGATTAAGTGAAAATGAGGTTATTAGGGTAGACCTACTCCAATCTGACTGGTGTCCTTACAAAAAGAGGAAATTGGGGCAGAGACACCAAAGATGGATGGGTACAGGGAAAAGATCATTTGAGGGCACAACTAGAAAGAGGTAGTTCACAAGCCGAGCAGGGAGGCCTCAGGAGGAGCCAAACCTGCCAACACCTTGATCATGGAAATTTAGCCTCTAGAACTGTGTGAAAATACATGTCTATTGTTTAGGCCACCCAGTCTGTCATATTTTATTATGGCAGCCTTAGCAAACAAACGAATGCAGTCTCATATTGTTTAAAATATCAAATAATAGCCTAGCTCATAAAGGGGAGGAATAGAAATACCTTGTTCATGTTATGAAGAGTAAATGAGCTTTAAGATAATGTATACAAAAATATAAACAATCATGTAGATATTAGTTATAGAACATCTGGTTATTGCTTTCTATCTCTTTAAATCACATTTAACCTCTTCAGATTGCTCTGCTCCATAACATCAGATCGCCAGGTTTCCTTTTGGTTATGAGACCCTATGGATATGGGTAAAATAGGCTATTTTTACAAAACGGGGTACAGATGCACGGTTGTTTGCTTCTAAATTCTCTCTAAAAGCTTCCTAACATCCTGTGTTGCAATCAACTACTTGGCCTTTTCTCTTTCCTTCTTTTCTCTCCCCTTCAATGCCTCTCCTATGCGAGTTGGAAATCCAACCTGATTTCATAAGGAAATCAAGTAGCTTGCGCTGAGCGTGGGCAAAGGGGAAGCTGAAAAGCTCTCCCGCCACTTCATTCCCATCGGGTTAGGAGAGGCGCAAGCTGCCGCCCAGGCTCTCTGGGGAGGCGGGCGACCTCGGGCGAAGTACAAGCTGGTGTCTGATTCTTATTCTCTGCTCTGGCAGCAAATCTCTTATTTCCAGAGAATTCCAAAGGGAGCCAGGTGTGATATTTAGCCTTGGAGCAGAATGGAATGTATTTATTGTCTAAAATCCCCCTTTCTCTGCCAGTTATTACATTGTTTCTTATTTTAATGTGACCCATTAGTTTAGCTGCTGATAGAATGGTGTTAATGAGGTCAAGATTATACCCATAAGGGCCAACTAGATTCATTCTGCTGGCATTTTGTACCTCTAAACTTGGTGAGTCATTTTACAAACGTGTAACGTTGGTGATAAGGGGAATTTAATAGAAAAACATTGTAAAAAAATGATCAATGATGGCAAAATCTATTTTCATTCCTCAGCCTCATTGACAGCAATTTGCTAGTATCCTAGTGTACAAAGGATTGTCTTTAACATCTATATTATATGTCCTTAAAATCTATTTTTATTTTCTTCAACGCAGGCATTTCTACCTTAAGCAGAATAAGCAGTATAAACTTGGCCAAAAAAAGCACCTGGGACTTAAGCAGTCGAAGCTGCATAAATTACGTTCAACTTGGTCAAAACATCTGCAAAAGAAAGAACTATTTGAAAGGGAAAAAAAGTAGAGAAATTATTGAGGGTGAGTTAAGATTGAT